TGGTGGTTGGCGATGACCACCAACCTCAACTAAGTATTGATGGTCACGACATAAATGTGCCTGGGGTTATTAGGGATTTGGGTGTATCCTACTCCACGAGTCTAAATCTTTCAGACCACTACGCCCTGATAGTCTCCAAAGCACGTAGAACGACCGGATTTATACTCCGAGACTTTAAAACCAGCGATATTAGAATGCGTCTTTATGACTTGTCCGTTATATCTGGCCTGAAACATTGTTCTTTCTATTTACCCTCATACCTGCTGCTGAGCGCAAGAAAATAGAATCCGTTCAACACCTTTTACCAAGAGAGTTTTAACCCCGGAACACGGACATTTGTCTTACCAAGAACTTTGCCGGCTTGCAGGCCTTGATCCATTGTGGTTTCGTAGATTACAAAAGGGACTATTTTTACTATTTAACCTTTTATATAATCGCACCTTTAACCCGCTCATTACCTTAAGATATCTTGTCCACTCCCGACGTAACAGGCACCATGAGGTCTTGTTATTTCTTCCTCTGGTACGTACCGTTAAATATGGTCGATTACTTTCTGTAAATGCAATTGCTATTTGGAAAAAACTACGCAGGAATGTGAAAACTCTGCAAGATTACCCTTTGTTTAAGAGAACTGCTACTCGCTTTTTGCATTCAGAAAGACTCCCACAAATTTTAGGTGCTGAATCCACCGATCAAATATAGCGTAGTGATGGCGTTCGTGGTCTCTATGACTGGACTCCCCAAGGGCCAATTCTTTAGCCAACAGCAGCAGCTGCTCTTCAGTGCTCCGGTTTGGTCCAATCCCACCTCCATGAAGATAAATGGTGACTGATAATATCCTATTCACTGCAACCCCTCACTTTATTGACTGTGGTCATTTCATGGGCAGTCATTTCTTTTCCCTTGAGCCCTCCAAACTATAAAAAATCACCATCATCTTTATCCCTATTTTTTCGTGTCTGTTTTTCCCTGATGGTCGAATTTGTGTTGAACCATCCCTGACAATGTCTGCAAACTGGCATCAAATATAATTTTCATTATTATTACTATGTATTGTACACTACAGAATCTTGGGCTCATTCTCTAATTTCCGACTCAGAGTTCGCTATGAATAGCCTCAGTTTATGACGCTAGGATCGTGTTGCAAAACGTGGCGGTTGTTGCCTTCTTCACATCAGAGTCTCACTTCCACATTGGCGTCTCATGATCTGAACATTTATTCCTGCTCTGGAAATTTATGTCTCGCTTCGGTAATCCTTCCACAAAATAGGGAAGCCTTAATCGAATGTGTATATAGTTCTCCGCGATACTCCAGAAATGAAAGCCAACTCCGTGAACTCCTTGAAAATATCGCAGAGACTTCTTTCGATGTCAAGATTATCGTAGGAGATTTTTATTTGCCAGAAATTTACTGGCCAACACAAACATCCCCTCCTAAATTCCAAAAGCCTCTTCACACCACTCACTTCTCATCCTTGTCCCAATTAATCCATTCTTCGACAAGAAACGATAATGTCATAGGTTTAAAATTACTTATGGCATCTCCCCTCTATCTATGGATTTTCATCATGAAATCCTTGAAAGTGATCATGCATTAAATCATTGTCGTCATGAAGTAGCAATTCCTGCAAAGCAAACAATACAGCGTAACATTTTTGACTTTAATAATATTAAGGCAATATTTCCACGGAACGAATTAAAAGCAGGCATAGGCAGAAGAATAAATAGACAAAAGGAGATAGACACGCTAGTCCGCACCACATCCCACTCAAAAGTTCCACCTTCCACTAAATATTATTTATCTCGCCGTAAGACCCATTCCTAAAGCCTTATCGCATACCTGCCTGCTTTCTTCACGGAGATAGACTCGTTATTCTGCTTCCCATCCCACTCCAATTTTCCCCTTTTCCCCCTATTCTTTTTTATATCACCGTGAGATATTCCTATACAATCATCTCCTCACCACATGCTTTCATTTCTGAGATACACTCGCTATTCCCAACCCCATCCCACTAACAATTGCCCTTTCCCCTTATTCTTATTTATCTTGCCATCAGACCAATTCATATACCATTATCTCCTCCCTACCTGTGTTTTCTCGGAGATAGGCTCGCTATTCCGCTCCGCATCCCTCTCACCGCCTTCGATATCCACTTAATCTTAATTGCTTTACCGTGGCCGCTTGCCCGACCCATCCAGATTTGTTCAATTTTATCTCATTTTTCTTCCTTGCATCGCACTAAGACCGATCCTATAGCATTATCCCAACATACATGCAGTCCGATCGGATATAGTCTCGCTATTCCGCTCCCTATCCCACACAATTTTTTTACACGTATTCTTATGTATGTCCATGTCATGCCAATGACTTTACCATTTTCTACTACCTAACAGCTTCCTTTCCGGTGATAGACAATGGAAGGCATAATAACATTCATATAAGAAAGGACAGACAGCGATCCACTGACTTCCCAATACAAACAAGCTCCAGATGAGCGACAGTGGCCTCGAAGAGGTAATCATTTGCCAGACCCTCTGTTATGTTGGCATGACTCGGTTTGTGTTTCTACACCCAGATGCTCGCTAACGATGCATCGATTGGCGCGCATCTCAAACGATCCAATCACTATCAAATTATAATGAATTCATTCTTACAGAACACGCATACATATTAATTTATCAGACATCTGCCACTACATAGCCGCGGGGACTGGCGCGTGTAAGGCAGGACCCCATCTCCGAAACCATTAGAATCATTGAAATGATACTGCTATATTTTACTTTATCAAACAAAATAAGCGAGATCGGAGCAGATGTCTGTGGCTCCTTGGCTGCCCAACGTGCCTGTTGTCATATCTTTGAAACCAAGAGGACTCCAGTAAAGCCAATACCTAATGACAGGGGCATGAAAGAATCCATCAGAATGCATCTACTCCATCATTAAGGGTTCTGCCTGCTTCTGTCTACCTAGAGTATAGATGATGCTATATTGGATCCCCATTTCCCTCAAATATTGCTCGCATGTCAGCCTATCTACCATTAGAACACAAAAGGCCACGGGGAAGCATAATGGTTAACTGAATATACGAATCATTTGGGCATTCCCACTCGTAAGGTGCAACACACAACACCCGAGGGGCAGGTTCTCTCACCCCGAAATTAAAAAAACGTGCAGGACAATCAGTGATATATTCCAGCCAGAGTTTACTGTTCTTCGCCTCTGGAGCTTGGCTACTTTCGTATTTGCGAAACCAAAGACATATAGTAAAGGTAATGATGCAGTTAAAGTATATGTTAGAT